TTTCGCTTAACCGGGCACTTTTCAGGAACGCATCTACTAACGAGGAGTTACTGTACATTGAAGTATCCATATGGGGGCTTGTGTGTGTACACTAGGTGTGGAGTTATCATTGAAGATGTACCGTATGTCTAGACAATTTTTTACGAAACTATATATTTTTTATTTTACCAGGTAAGGCCCACTGAGCTATTTAGCTCTTTTTTAAGAAGCGACCTGACTATAAATTATATCTTATCGAAGTGGCTTATCATGTGTACACTTATAGCAGCCAAATACGCACGTTTCTAAATGTGGAGGGAAAATCGGAGGACCTGGAGAATAATCCACGCGACCGTGGGGAGAGAGACATGCAATCCCCAAATATACAAGCGTCAGGGTCGGGGTCGTGATCGAACCCACGAACCTCCTGTATTACCAGGCGAGGTGGTTAACATCTCACCACCGTGGCGCCCCTGATATCGACGCAGCTTGTTTCGTTCGCATCCACGTGGACTTAATTGCCACGAGGTTGCACCACGTCCTGATTATAAGACGCACCCCGACAACTTTTACTTGAAAAGTTCACGGCCGAAAAAAAGTCAATGGGCCTATCGCTGATGCCACCGCAATTGGCATGAATGATAAAAAAAAACAATGTTTGCAGCAATTCTATTTGTAGAATGCTAACGGCTCCTTGTTTGAGTGACTAACATCGGGCTGATCCATCGTAGTAAGCATGCCCTGGCTCCCGCGTATCATTTTAAAGAACGGGGAAACTTTGTTACTGCCCCATCATGATCACAAGAGCATTGAGTGTGTGACTCAAAGATCCTTCCTCTTTTGTTGGAGGGGAGGGGTGGTGGGCGGGGGGTGAGAGGGAGGGGCTGGACAGGGAGGGGTGGATGTGACTGCGTATAAACTAGACACACTTTGTACCTATATGGTTTTCGTAAAAACATAGTCATATACTTTTTTCGATTTAAAGCTTTCGTGACTGCAGGGATTCATCTTCTTGGTTCTTTTGGTAAAGTCACGTAGAAGGAAAATAATAAAATAATAAAAATAAAACATAAAATAATTCTCACGACGTTTCGACCACAACGCAAGCAGCCGTCTTCAGGTGGAGAACAGGTCTGTCAAGTAGACAGACGTCGTGAGAATTATTTTATTATGTTTTATTTTTATTATTTTATTATTTTCCTTCTACGTGACTTTACCGAAAGAACCAAGAAGATATACTTTTTTGTTATTGAACGATGTTAAAGGTTTAATGTGTGGTGGATAATCATTTATCTACAAGAGTCCTGGTTTTATATGAAGGCGTCTTTAACATAAATGAATTTTGATTTATTAATCGGTGTCGCGATATGACTATACTGTGATATTATATCGTACGATATTCGACCGCTTTCTTAAACGTCGTGGCAGTATATCGTTAGGAAATTATCGCTGATTAGGTTGCATTCATGTATACGTGTATATTTACCGTATAATAAGAATTTTAAAAAGGTTTATGAAATAACATGATCACGTCGCTAAATATATATTATACCAATTCAATGAGGTCGATGCAAATTGAAATGCAAATTCCCGTGCAATTGAAGTTTCGGCGGGTGACATGACGTCATCGTTTTCGGTTGTCTGTTGATTCATTAATCGAGCACTGTGCTGCGTGAGTGACCTGAGTTGCGGCACGTGCGTTCTAGATTTGCGCGATTGTGAGATCTCATGGATTGGAAGGGGTACCCACGGGGCTTATGTTGACCGAGATGCAGTTAAGGGACTTTTGAAAGTACAGTACTGGACTGTAGTTTAATTTTTATTTGCACTCGGAAAATACAGCGCAAAAACAAACGATTATTACAGTAAATAATACTGTAAAATAATTGGCAAACATTACAAAGGTTGCGGGTAATTGATATCGTTGTCATCGTGGAAATTGATATTGTGGGAATTATTATAGTACCGTGAAATATTACATCAAGTTTCTCTCAAAACGTACGGTGTACTAAACGAAAACGATATTTTTATTTAACAAGGCCAGGCCCACCGAGCTATACATAATTATTTTTTAGAAGCGATTTGGCCACAAATTATAGCTCAACCAAGTGGCTATAGCAGCCAAATACTCTAAACGCGCGTTTATAAATACGGAGGGAAAACCCGGAGGACCCGGAGAAAAATCCACGCCACCACGGGGAGAGAAAGACACGCAAACTACAAATATGCAACAACAGGCGTTAGGGTCGGGATCGAACCCACGAACGCCCGCATACCCGGCGAGGTAGTTCATATCCCGCCACTCCGGCGCCCCAAGTATCCACTGGGGGCGAGTGGGAGGAGGGGTATGTGGATCGGACAGAAACCCAGAAAGGAAAAGCCTTCTCAACTTTAACGGAGTTAGGCTTGCATTGTGTTCACAGCTATAATACTTTTGAGAAGAAATCGCATTGTTCCTTGGCCAAGGGTTGTCTCTCTTGAGATGCCACAGTAATGGCACGACGACAAACAAAAAAAACCCCGCAAGTGAGAATTGTACTCGTGCCTCTTGACTCGGCAGCTTGCGGCTTCTTTCCCAGTCGCCCGTTTTAGTTCTGACAGCGCGTACCGTGGCTTTCAAGTGTGTTTTTTTTTAAATCGCTATTCAGAATCGAGACATTTATCCTGGAGGAATCCGATGAGGTATGAAGCTCTATTATTCACAGATTGTCCAGTAAGGGCGGGTCAGAAAGTCACAGCGACAAATAATCGGCATGAAGTGGCGGTTATTCGAAAGCAAATGAATGAGGGAAAGCCATAGGATCTATGAAACGGGTCAGTTAAAATTAATCTAAAAACGAAACTACTTTTTATATGACCAGGTCAGGCCCACTGAGCTATATAGATCTATTTCAGAAGCGACCTGGCCACAAATGATAACCCAACGAAGTTGCTTATCACGTGAAAATGTATAGCAGCAGAACATGCAAACTCCAAATATACAGGCGTCAGGATCGGGATCGAACCTACGACCGCCTGTATACCGGGCGAGGGAGTTAACACCTCGCCATGCTTCTCACAGACACGTTGGTAACATATAGCTGTGTATGCCTAAGGCTTCATTTCTCATATAATACCTCATGAGGAGGGAGGGGAGGGAGTGCTAGGCAATATTTTCCGGAGCTCAGTCCCAGCCAGCTCCGGCTGCAATGAAGCCCTTTATGCGTCCGTTTGTCTTGTGTTGCTGTAGACATTTAGGACGCAGTGTCAAGTCAGAATCAGATTCTGTATTTACTGGAGGAATCCGATGAGCTATAAAGCTCTTCTTCTCAGATGTACAGTGGGGGCAAGTGGAAGTGTAAATGAGCTACACGTCACATGCAGTTGAATTCGGAGACTACTTTAAGAGCACCACTCGTGGCGATCAAAGTAAAACGATTCAATGTTCTTCTAAATCACAGGGATATTCCCTCTTTACCAACCTGCCCTGGCCAGTGTTGTGAAGTATGATCAAACATTCCCCGTGACTGACATTGCATGGGGAGGGAAGGCCTTCATCCAGCAGTGGATAGACACAATGGGAAGGTTGCGAGTTCAAATCCGGTTTGGGAGTTGACTCAGCCCATCATCCTTCCGGGGTCGATAAAATAGAGAACCGCTCTGTGGAAAAGTGAACAGCGGTTGTCCTCTTGAGAGACTCGCCCTCGCCATAGGAACGTGGAATTTCCACCATCGGCTCAGGACTGTAAACAGGAGATGGGGGCGGTCAGGGGGGGGGGGGGAGGCTTAATTTCCAGGCTCAGCTGACCCCCAAACCAATCCGGGTGGAGGTGGGAAATTGATAAACTATTTTCCGGAGCTCAGCCCAAGAGAGGTCGGGTTGAATCACGTACGAAGTTGTCTGCAGTTGTTTAATTGGCGAGGGAGCGTTTCCGATTCGTAAACAATCGCGACCCGTCCCGCCGCAGGTTTTTGTTTTGTTTTTCGGCAAAAGACACTGCACCGCACGCACCGACACAGACAAACCACCCCCCCTCCTCCTCCTCCCCCCCCACACCGCCGCCTCCGCAAAGTATCTTCTTACAAACGTCAACACAACGACGGCCACTAACAAACGACCCCTTTTGTCAGCGCGGGGGTCTGTTGGGAGGAAGGGCAACCCGCGTGGACGCAAGGCGGTGTGTGTTGTCGTCGTCGTTCGAGTTCAACGGAGCGACAGGGAGGAGGAGGAAGAGGAGGCGGAGGAGGAGGAGGAGGGAGGGAGGATGGGGTTTATTATTTGTTTAGAATATATATTATTATTATTGTGTCAAGAAGCGTCGTCAAAGGACGGCGATGATGCCATTGGGCTAGCGGTGGCGAAACGCGCGACTTGCTCCGGTGAGCGGGGGCGATTGATGGGAGCTGTGGTTGGAGGAGGATGGAGGAGGAGGGGGGAGAGGCGTGATTATTGAGGATGCAAACACAGCCCGCGGGGGGTTTTGTGTGCGAGCGTGAGCGGACGAGTGAGTGAGTGCGGGGTTGGGGTGGTAGCCGACAGAGCGGCTGCAAGTGCATGGATCTCGGGACTGGCGCGTAGTCGTGTCGGGGCTGGCGCGCAAACGAAACGCAAGCGACGAGCGGTGTTCCGCTACTCGGCCAGTCGTGTTCTTGACCACTGCAGATCCATCGTTGTCGTCAAAGTCATCAGCATCGTCGTTCGAATCATAATTGTCACCGTCATCGCCGTCATCATCATCCCAGCGCAGCAAAGTGCTGCCACCACCAGCACCACATCACAATAATCATCGGAGCAACCAATCAGCGTTGTCATCATTGTCCGTGTCATTATCATCAACATCATCATCGTCATCCTCCTCCAAGCGCAGCAAAGTGCCGCCGCACACCAAAGAAAGTTAGACAACGGCCCGGCACTGCCAGCCAGCGGCTGTTCATCTCCAAACTCACTGCGCGCTCGGTCCTTACTCACCATCCTCCCGCACCGCTTCTCTCTGCAAACTCCGGCTTCGCCCACGGCCAATACCCGCGCCGCGTGTCGCCAGGAGTCGTCTCGGACCGCCCGTCTCCGCTGTCTTCGCGAGAGAACAGCCCCCCGGCCATGCTGCCCAAGGCGTCCGATTTGCACTGCGATTTGTTCCCGGTGGGCCGCGCCATGGACTCGCTGCACGGGCACTCGATGGTGGGACACAGAGTCGGTAAGCGGCGGGAGGGAGCGGCTAAGTGACTGAGTGACCGAGTGACTGGCTGAGTGGATGGCCGAGTGACTGACTGCGCGATCGGCTTAGCGGTTGAGTGACCGACTGATTGGCTGAGTGGATAGTTTGAGTGCGCTCAGCTGACTCGAGAGATGAACATTCACATTTCTATTCACTCGAATACACACCCACAGCGAGATGCACACATACTCGCGCAGAGATGCACGCAATGTACATAAATACAGTATACGTTCATCCATAACAGAGATGCACTTACAGGAAGACTCATTCACTCGGGCAGATGAACACTCACTCGCTCGCAGATCCACACCCATTCAAACAGAGACGCAAACATACGCAGAGATGCATTCATACACTCACACAGATACATACAAAGACAACGATCCCCATCGATATACTGAACAGACTGTTGGGCAAAGTTCTTGTTAAGCACCTTACGAAGGCCGGGACGGCAGACGAGGGGGTGAGTGGCCAGCACCACGCATCGCACCAGGTACTCATTTGAGGCCGAGTCGACCTAGGGGAGGCCCAGGACCGGTTCAGATAATCGTCGCTAGGCGTTGCACTACCGCTTCCCCCCCCCCACACACACAGATACATTCACTCATTCTCACTGGTTCGCCTGACCGCTCGGTCACTGACTCATCTTTACGAACGCTGGCGCGTGCTCACGTACACGCGCGTATGCACACGTGCACGAGCGCGTGTGCACGAGCACGCGCGTATGCACACGTGCACGGCGGGTTGTCGTCTTGAAGTGTGCGCATGTGAATCGTCGCTATTGTAACGCCAGACTATGAGGGGGGGGGGGGTAAGACTGTGTTTGAAATACGTTGATGAAACTGTGTGTGTGTTCCATTATCTCGGTAGTGTAGGGGGAGCGGTGGTGTAGCGGTTAACGCGCTGCGCTATGAACCCGGCGATCCAAGATCGATTTTCGCTCACGGCCAACACCGCTGACGATCATCTGAACCGGTCCTGGGCCTCCCCTAGGTCGACTCAGTCTCAAATGAGTACCTGGTGCGGTGTGTAAACATCGCCACTGGGGAGACAAAGGCGGCCGGGCGTGGTGCTGGCCACTCACCCCCTCTCGCGTGCTGTCCTGGCCTTCATAGATGCTCGCTAACAGCACTTGCCTCTACAGTATGTTAAGGCTATACAGGGGATCTTTGTCTTGTCCCTTATCTCCACGCGTGTGAATCGTTAACTCAGCCGGTGTATGGTGCATAGCGAAGGTTCGATTCCTGACTCCCGCACTCACTCAGATATTCATTCATTCAGGAACGTTAGCACACTCGCAGAGAGACGCACGCGGACTCACACTCGCTCAGAGATTCCACTCAGAGAGATGCACGCACTCGGAGACACCCACACTCATGGTTGTACATCACCATTAGTATCGTGAGCAGAGTCAGGTTGATCGATGGTCCAGAACTCCACCGATTCACTCCGGCCACTCAACTCACTCACCGGCGGTCAGTCGCCTCCATCTCACTCTTCTATCGCTTCTACCATGTTTATCGTTCCCGTGAACTTCACACTCGTTTGATTCCTCCACCCGTCTCGACGACTCGGTTCCACCAGACACCGCCTCCTTCGTCTCATCCACCACACTGTGTTCAACCACCAACACTGCAACATCAGTGACAACAACTCACTCACTCGCTCACTTATTCACTCACCCAGCCACACTCACCGACTCACCACGCTGCAGGTTTACAATCCTTCTATTTACGATTATACTCTCAGCTCACACTTCTCCACTTTGGAATCCCCCCCCTCCTATCTCCATCGTTTATTTTCCCACTGATATAATTGTCCTCCATCCAAGAAACGTATTAACTGTGATCATCTTACATCTTAAATAGTGCTGTGTGCTGTGGGCCGCTTGGCGTTTGGGCCTTTGCCCACGTGCTCAGCAATCGTGACTTCAAAGCGTCATCATTCATCACGTGCATTGCGTCTTCCACTCGCAATCCTCATCGCTGACCCGCCTATACTGGGCATCTGTGAAAAAAAAGCTTCATAGCTCATCGGATTCCTCCAGTCTATAATAAACATTCTGATTCCGATTCATTGGCACACACAAGCACACACACGCCGGGCAGATAACATTGCCCCAAAAGTATTTCAAAAGGTACCTGAAAGGAAGGCTTGGGTCTGGTTGCAATTCTCGCGTTTTACATTTAATTTCCAATGGGACAGAATCCTGCGCGCACAGGATGTTCACTTTATACACGTGCATGATATTCACATTTCCTCGCCATAAATCTCTGCCTAGGTGAACCCACCGACAAACACGCGCAGCCTCCTAAAGTTATTGCGCGCGCCCCCCTCCAAGACCAAATCACCCACAACACGCGCTCGATCTCGCACGCTAAGCGGGCGTTTAGCCTGGCCAGCGCATGGATGGTTGGGTGACCACCGCAGGAGGTTGTGCGACGTGCTTGGGCAGCACAGAGGCAGGGCAGCCTCATCAATTGTTGTACCCTACCGCTGTGTCCCCGCGTCTATGCTCAGAGCTTGCATCAGCCTGCGCTGACTGACTACGCCTGGCGAAGCAGAGCGTTGTCAAATAGCCCCCTGTGATCCGTAGCCCGTGTGTACAGCTTGCACTGGCAGTAATAACAGCGATACTTTTCCGAAAGAATAATAAGAACGTGACTTTACCGAAAGAACCAAAGAGTAACGATACTGATTCTTATTTACAGCCCTTTGTAAATCCATTTCTGTATGAAGCTCTCCCAAGGCTGTTTGACCATACTTCACCACGCTGGTCATTACGAGTAGGTGAAGTGAAAGGGCCCAGGACCGATTCCGTCACCGCTCGCCTCTAATGTTGATAGCCGGGTTCATGGTGCAGAGAGTGCGTTTACCAATTGCGCCACCGCTCCACTGCAGCCTGCAGTGTGCGCGTGTGTGAGTGTAATTCAAAGTCTTGTCCGTTCCACAAATGAGAAAACAAGAAGTGAGTGGAGTGGGGAAGCCCTCTCTTAAGTGCTCGGTGTGTGTATGACTTTAGCACGTGCTTCGTGGAACCGTGCCGGAGAACCCCCCTGGGTTAAGGCGCGAATGAGTTGGCATCCGAGCTAATAATGGTGATGTTACCACCACCAGCGGCAAGAGCAGCACAGGAAGATTAAATAACAAACAGATGGACGACATCGGATGGGCCGGCTGAGTCCACATTCAGTGGAGGAGGATGGCGACACGTGACGGCGAGGAGTGGTGGATACGCAGTCAATGGTCGAGACTGGTGACGGCATCGCGGTCAAAGGAGAGGGGTGGAAGGGCATCCGAGAGGACGACCAGAGAGCGGAGATGGTTGGGATGAGATTGGGATGAGATGAGCTTCAGGTGCAGGGGAGTAGAGGGCACTGCTGTGCCGTGAGCGATGCCGACTGTGGGTAGGAGAGGGAGCCGTTCGTCCAGCAGTGGATATACCACGGCTCACGACGATGATGATGATCGCATGTACACGTTGTGTTAACGTGTGATGACACGGCCATATGCGTGCTGCACACGTGTATTCTCACGTGTCGGGACGGCAGTGGCTGAGTGACTGGTGCGGGATTGTTAACGGCGTTCTGGAAGTGCTACAAGGATTGCATCTGCCACAAATTCAGCGGAATGTATAATTTAAAACGTTTCTACACATCTAAATATTCACATATCTACTCGTGGAAATTTTTGCGACATTTCTCTGTACACTGACGTCATCCTACGGTCTGCATCAGCAGCAGGCCACGTGCTTTACCACCTGACGACGGACGCTTGTGTTGCGCCCGAAACGTCGTGATTTAATTTAGTTGTTTTCATTTATTTAATTACATTTTTTGCCTACGTGACTTTACCAAAAAAACCCAAAGAGTATATGAATCCTTGCAGTCACGAAAGCTTCAAATCTAGAGTCATCCTACGGTTTAAAATTTCTACCGGGCTCGTACCAAACCCGATTTTTGTTGTTGTTTTACAATTGCGTCATCAGTGAGTTCGCCCCCCCCCATTCATTGCGACTGTAAAGTCGACTGTAAAGTCGCAATGAAGCGGTGAAACCCGCTGCTAATGCGGTCGCCGCTTGTAAGCGCATTATACGACTACGATACTGTGCAGTGTACACGCATGGTGAGATACGCGTGCGTGCTGTCCACGTTGAAGGCACGCACGTGTGTAGAGTTTGGTGGTTAGCGCCGAGTTCGATTCCTGCTCACGGCCAACAGCGGTAACGATTGTCTGAACCGTTCATGGGCCTCCCCTAGGTCGGCTCAGCCTCAAATTAGAACCTGGTGTGCCGTGTAAAGATCACGACTGGGGAGACAAAGGCGGCCGGGTGTGGTGCTGGCCACCCACCCACGCGTGTGCCGTGCCGGCCTTGGCCCAATAGTCTGTTCAGGCTATACGGGGGATCTTTGTCTTTGTGTTTTTTTTTGTATATACAAAGACACACATATATAACGCAATTAAAAATTTAAACCGCGTTTCATTATAAGTCGTTGCTCAGCACAGTACAGGGCCTTTTCGCTACGTTATTGCACCTGGGAATGGATGCCATTGCCAAGGGGATGGGAGATGTGGGGGTGAGTGGTGGTGTGTGTTGATGCGAGGTGTGTGTGGTGTGTGGTGAGTGGTGGGTGAGTGGTGGTGAGTGTGGTGTGTGTTGATGGGAGGTGAGTCGGTGGTGTGTGTTAATGCGAGGTGAGTGGTGGTGAGTGTGTGGTGTGTTGAGTGTTGGGTGAGTGGTGGTGAGTGGTGTGTGTTGATGCGGGGTGAGCGATGGTGAGTGTGTGGTGTGTGCTGATGCGAGGTGAGTGGTGGTGTGTTGATGCGGGGTGGGTGAGTGGTGGTGTGTGGTGTGTGTGGTGAGTGGTGGGTGAGTGGTGGGTGGTGGTGAATGTGTGGTGTGTGATGATACGGGGTGAGTGGTGGTGTGTGTGGTGTGTGTTGATGCGGGGTGAGTGGTGGTATTGGGGCGAGCGAGG